TTGTTTCGGAAATTATGTTTATGTAGATATTGAGCCTAAACAAGTTCCGGAACAATCAAAGAGTTAGGATCGAATCAAAGCAAGGCTAAGGTGAGTGCAATTTAATTTGTACTTAGGTTATTGAATAAACATTGGCTTGCGATGAGCCAGTGACGGAGTTACTATGGTAAGAAATAACTTCTAAAATTTATGTGATTATGATTTGTACATTAGTACATAGAAATGGATGTATGTTATTATATGTTACATGATTTACATGCTTAAGTGAAAATGCAACATGTGATATATGTTATATGATATGACATGCAAGTTTACATGAACAAATGAGAAATGATAAAAGCCATATGAAATGATCTACATGAATACATGCACTTGTGATATTATATGATATATATGTTTACACATATATGTGGTATGTGACAGAAGAGAAAGAACAAGTGATATGAAATGTATAAATGATAATGTCCATGTTATATGATATGAGAGCTAGTGGTATAGTTGGCATGTCAAAAGTCGAGGGTTCTACGTGGTCCTTCGGGACATATATGTATCCTTTGGAACATTTACAGGGTCTTTTGAGACAGATTTGATCTACTAGAATATGTATATGGTTCTTAAGGAGTGGTCATTCGGGACAAATACAGTACATAGATCCTTCGGGACAAATTTCATAGCCCCTAGTAAGACCCCATACGAGGTGTGGTGACAGCATAGTGCACAACCTCAATGTACTCACATACCTTAAGTTCTCACTGGTGTACATGGGCTAATAAAGAGATTAAACAAATATACTAAAGGTGATATGCATATGTGATTTATTATGTGGAATAAATTACAAGGATATATGTTTTAGTTATATGAATTGTATTACATGAAGTATATAATTTGTATAAACGATAAGTATATGATTATATGATAAAAGGTATTAATGATAATAATAGGATAATGATAAAGAATAAAATAATCATATATGTACATTGGTGGATTTGATATATGAATAGAAATATGATAGTATATGTGCATGTATGTAATTTAATATATGAAATGTTTTTATGATTTTTATTATATGTTTTATATACCTCACTAAGTAAACTACTTAGCATGTGATTGTTTCACACGTAGGTTCCGAGAAGAGGAAGAATGATAAAAGTTATGCAAGACATGTCAGTTCCTCCTTTCTAAAGATCAGATCAGAAAAGAAATGTATAGTATGTATTTTGTAATAAGGATAATGGTTGGCATGTAAATGAAGGTTTAAATATGATATGTTCTAATCGGTTTGTAAAATCATATAATAGAGTTTTGTAATATTTTAAATGTATTTATACAAATGTAAATGTATAGTAATGAACAGTTAAATTTTTACGAGTTTTATGAACGTTTTTACGAAAGTAACTGTAGTAGTATTGTAGCAGTGCATCGATGCACAATTTTGCTTCGAAATTTTGGTGCATAGAGGCACTGTAGCAATGCATAGAGGCACTGTTCATGACAATGTTCATCACTGTTCACGGTACTGTTCATACTGTATTTCACTGTTCATAAATAAGTTTTTATCTCAAAATTTTATACCAAACACAATTGAACAATATATGATCGTATTTTCTTAATATAAGTTCAAATGTTCAGGTATTTTACAAGAATAAAGGTTTTGAAATGTCAATGTGACATCTCGAACTCGTATCCAGGTCGAGTACGGGTTAGGGTGTTACATACACATCGTATAAAGGCGGGATGGCTAAAGTGGATGGCTGCTACTGGAGTTTTGTATGACAAGAAGGTGTCTTTAAAACTTAAGGGAAAATTTTATACAATGACAATAAGACCAACGCCTCTGTATGGATCAGAATGTTGGACAATCAAGAAGAATCACATAAGGATGATGGAGACCGTCGAAATGAGAATGCTTCGATGGATATGTGGTAAGACTCTGTGGGACATGACACCAAACTCAGCTATTAGGATGTCCTTGGGGTGGTGCCTGTATCCGAAAAATTGAGGGAGGGAAGACTACGGTGGTTTGGGCATGTCCTTAGGCAACAACCGTCGGATGCGGTCAGGAGGGTAGAGTCGATTATAGTCGACGGTGCCAGGAGGAGAGGACGACCAAGGCGGAAGTGCGAAGACTGCTTGAGATCTGATTTGAAGGATTTAGCCATTACCGAGGACATGACCTCTGATAGGAAATTATGGAGACATAAGACCATGGTAGCCGAGTAGTGTAGGTCACAAACATAGGGTGTAACATCTCTGTATTCTTTTTAAATGACTTTGTAATAATTTCCATGACTTCTACTTTATATACGTTTATGTCATTATAATTTATGAAGGCTTAGAACTAGGGTAGCGGAGTAGAGTTGCCTTAGTTTAGGTTTTCACCCATTTAACTTTATTCCTTCTCGTAGCTTGCTATCATTGACTATTGTGTATCATTCTCTTCAGGTTTCCTCTTTTTAAATTTAGTCGGATCTTACGTTTCTGTCTATATACAAAGATTTTTACGCATGGATTGATTTGCATGGATTAATTCCCATTACAGACGTGCATATGAAGACTGTTCAACTATGTATTTATTTATTTACTTATACATGCATTGCATTTTATCTTTCTTTTTAATTTTTTGATTGTCGGAGGTCTTCCACGGAAGCTGCTCTCAATCCTGGCGTTGGGGGCAGCCTACTACCCTACCTCCCCCTTACTCCATTACATATGAGAATAGGGTTTTGTTGTTGTTGTTGTTGTATAAAAATACATTGAAATTAGTTATAAAAACATACTAATTTTGTTTGTAAATTTTTTGATTTTTTTATTTTTCTGATTTTTTTAAATTCAAATAGATTAATTTGCAAGATATAGTTAAATATTTTCTTATGTTTTTTCGCATTATTATTATGAAATGTATTTTTCTTATTTATTTGTATTTTCATAATGTTATTTATGAATGTTTTATTTATGTTTTTTATCTTGATATTTATTATAAAATATATATGTTTTATTTTATATTTGAAAAATCAATATTATAATAGTTAAATATTGTGAATAAAGTAGAGTTGATAGTAATATAAAGATAATACTGAAAATGAATTACTATAGTAGAGATGGATATACTGTAGAGTAGAGACGAGGACTGGAGTGGCCTTAAGTGTATTTTGAGCACTGACATAAAGTCAAATGTGAACCGGACCAAAGGAAATAAAAAAAGATCTGACATAAAGGAAAAGTGGTCCCCTGAATAATAATTCTATTGAAAAAAAAGAGAGTAAATGATCTAAAAATAGAAATACACGTGGAATTCAGTTTCCTATTTTGTTTGTTCATACTTTAACATGTACATGGATGAAATTATTCAAAAAAGAAAAATCAAATTATTTAGTTGATTCGGCCACCATGGCCACCCCATAGACCCCTCTGCATCAAACTCAACTTTAAGTCACAATTCAAAGAACGGCACGTCTCAGTTGAAGGGAGTCGTATTTTTGTTTTCAATTGTCATCCTTTATACAAAAGCCATAAGTCCATAAGATTACTCGACATTACTCGTACACTGCTTCAGCCAAAAAAAGTCTACGCCCACAGACCTCATTTATTGTTCTTCTTTGTCATCTACAATTCCTTGTTGTGAATTCAAGAGCTTTCGGATTCGGAATTTGGAGGGGTATCGTGGATTACAGATGGCTTTCCGTGATTGCTGCTGTGGCTGGATGGCACATAATTGAACTCGCGCAACACATGTGTCAAGAAAAAGTGCAAGTTGAGATGAACGAACTGGACTTGTAAAAAATGGGAATCATTATGATCGTAAGTGGTGGTTTTGGTGATAGTTTATAGGCGGTAACCAACGTGCCAGGTAGGCCGTGTTCATGAGATTGGGCATTTGGATTCCAGCTCCAAGTAAAGGTCGCCACGTTTTTCTTCACTCGTCAAATAAGTGGGTGAATCAAAATCCCACTTGCATTAAAACTAAAAGGAAAGCAGGGGAGCTCTGTTTCAGAGATATTTGTCCAAAGGCTAGTGACTGATGTAATAGATTCCAACCAACAGTACAAATATCTAAACTACTGTTAACTAGTCAACTTGAAATAAGCAAAGCTGGTTAAGTTTTGAGACAAATTATAGGAGCTGGTCTTGTCATTTGGACATTTTCTTTTTCAATTCATACTTGGAATGTTTCTTTTGGTTCCTAAAGTCAGATGCGAATATTTACTCCTTTGAGAATTCAGACATTAATATCATAGCCCATCACCTATAAACTGTAGCGTATGGGTTTTAATGACTGCTTGTCCTGATGAGGATATGCCTCTTTTTGAAATTTCCAACAAAATCAATCAAAATGCCGTAAGATAGAAAGAGACTAAATTCGGACACGACGACAATTTTCGTCATCCAAGTCTTGAGGAGGGCACGTGAAAGTGATATCACTGTATGGGGATTTAAAAGTCATGCAACTTATAATTATACCGATCAGCCCCATTATCAGCACGCTTCATGGTTGTGCTAAAACTTTTCCATATTCCATGGCTAATGCTTGGCTACCTAATTATTTATATATATCCCTATATTGCCTATCTGTTTGGAAAAAAAGATCAAAGAGTATAAGAGTAAAATAAAACACGATATTATATTGCTTGGAAGACGAGGTGAGGCCTAATTTCTAAGTACATGTGTTCCTCGGTGTGTTAGGGGAAAAGAAGTGACCTACTTGTACTAAATACAAGTGGCAAAGTCAAAAGTCAAAACTCAGATTTTCTGTGCATAGCTCTGGAATCACATTGGATGGCTAACATCGAAATATCATATTTCCCATAACCAAAGTATGGGGAGTAGGGACAGCCCATACGAGTTAAAACCCAAGAGCACAAGCGACGACCATCCAACGTGCCCAAAAACAGTGTCAATGATTCCACTGCCCCACGGCTCCAAGCCTCCAACCTTAGCCTATATATGTTTGCCTTTCTCTCTAAACTCATTACCATTTCTTACAGGCTTCAAAGCAAGTTGTATTTTTTCTTTTCCTCCCGTCATTTGAGGCTTGTTTTCAACTCATTATCATTTGATCCTCGAGGCTGAAGAGATGGCCAAAGAGATGCAGAAGACTAGCATGTTCATTGAGAGAAACCCTGGAGATTATGAGAATGGTGATATCTCCAAGAACTTGGATGATGATGGTCGAGTCAAAAGAACCGGTAGTTACTCGTATTTCTTCTCCTCAAAGGCTTAGCATTATTATACTTGTTTTGATCATGGTTCTTATTTAGCTTTGATTTTTTTTTTATTTTGAAGGGACTTGGCTTACTGCAAGTGCTCATATTATCACTGCTGTGATTGGATCTGGAGTCCTGTCTCTTGCATGGGCCATTGCCCAGTTGGGTTGGGTGGCTGGACCGGCTGTCCTAACGGCTTTCTCCTTCATCACCTACTTCACCTCCACCCTTCTTGCTGATTGCTATAGGGCTCCTGATCCTGTCCATGGAAAGAGAAACTACACTTACATGGATGTTGTTAGAGCTTATCTAGGTACTAATTTCAGCTGTTAATCTTCACATTAATTCCATAATAATTGATTGTTTACAGTTCCAAGAACATACCTTATTTTAAAGAGAAACTACTTCCCCATGTAGATAATTCAATTCAATCCCACAGGAACCATTAATGAAACATCAAAATCAATGCTTATCTTTTGTAGGAGGAAGAAAGGTCCAACTCTGTGGATTAGCTCAGTATGTAAATCTTCTGGGAGTAACCATTGGTTACACTATCACAGCATCAATTAGCATGGTGTAAGTTTGAGTCTTGAGTATTAAATTACCTTCCTTTGACTATGCTAATGGTTTTGTTAATTGTTGTGTTCTATTTGGTTGTAAAACCAGGGCCGTCAAAAGGTCAAATTGCTTCCACAAGCATGGCCATCATGTAAAGTGCCAAACATCCAACAACCCTTTCATGGTCATCTTTGCTTGCATCCAGATCGTTCTCAGCCAAATCCCAAACTTCCACAATCTTTCATGGCTGTCGATTCTTGCTGCCATCATGTCTTTCGCTTATTCTTCCATTGGCCTTGGACTTTCCATCGCCAAAGTTGCAGGTAACTTTAACAGCTGATAAAAATGACGTTGTTTCTGGTTTATTCATTTGATAGAGTGACTTTAATTTCATGTAAATCTAACTCTTCCGTTAATTAACATCAAGGTGGGGAACATGTAAGGACAACCTTAACCGGAGTGACAGTAGGGGTGGACGTGTCGGGATCTGAAAAGATTTGGAGGACATTCCAAGCTATTGGAGACATTGCCTTTGCCTATGCTTTTTCTACCGTCCTAGTTGAGATTCAGGCAAGTATTTGCATATTGTCAAATATGTATAAATCACTTTTCGAGTAATATAATGTAAGATCCTGATATCCAAAGATTCCTATGGACCAGAATGTTTCAGAATTTGGTCCATAGATTCTATTGCATTTTTCAAAAGTAGAAAAGTAAGTGAAAGCTTTATCTTTCCAACTTTTCTTTTATCAGTTATCATGAACCTATTAGAACAGCAGATTTTGACGTCCAATATAGTTGAGTATCAACTGTTTTTGTCCCATCTCAAAAACCAATAACCTTTCCCAAAGTGAGAAAGGGACATGTACAAAGAAATTTTAAAGTCATACTTTTTCCCTTCATGAATTCAGGACACGATCAAATCCAGTCCACCGGAGAACAAATCAATGAAGAGAGCAACAACCCTTGGTGTCTCAACGACGACTCTGTTCTATGTCCTTTGCGGACTTGTCGGATATGCAGCCTTCGGAAATGATGCACCAGGAAATTTCCTTACTGGCTTCGGCTTCTATGAACCCTTTTGGTTGATCGACTTCGCCAACATCTGCATTGCCATTCATCTTATTGGAGCATACCAGGTCGAACAAACACATGCATACATATGCATTTACATTAACAAAATTCAATATCATTGATGACCCCGGTCTAACATGGTTAACAAATATATCCAGGTATTTGCCCAACCTTTATTCGGATTCATCGAGGGCTGGTGTGCCAGACGGTGGCCTGAAAACAAATTCATTACAAGAGAACATGTTGTTGATGTTCCATGCTATGGTGTTTATTACATCAACTTCTTCAGGCTGGTGTGGAGGACAGCCTACGTTATTTTGACAGCCGTGGTAGCCATGATATTTCCTTTCTTCAACGATTTCTTGGGACTTATCGGGGCCGGCTCGTTTTGGCCATTGACGGTCTACTTCCCGATAGAGATGCACATTGCTCAAACGAAATTGCCCAAGTACTCGTTCAGGTGGATATGGCTGAAAATACTGAGTTGGGTTTGCTTGATCGTTTCACTCATTGCTGCCGCTGGATCTGTTCAAGGACTGATTCAAAGCCTGAAGACATACAAGCCATTTCAGACTCAGGACTGAATGACTCGCCTATAATGCTTTGATTCCGTGTAAAATGTTGGAAATTTGTGGAGACTGTAATTTATTTCCCTTTTGTTTTCTAAATGTGTTGCCTTCTACAATTGGTGGCAAAAGCAGCTTTAAAGCTCCATCTAAAATGAGAGACAGATGTAAGAAATTATAGTGATGCATGAAATCCAACATTATGTAAGAAATTACCAGATTATGAATATGTCCATGCAAAATGCCACATGTTTCAATTAGGTACTGGTTTTTTTTAAGTTTCATGGGCCGGGTTCGGGTGGATTAACATGGATAACATTAAGTCATGTCCCTCCCAATTTTCTTGTTCATTCGTTAAATTTTATTAGTTTTAAAAATCAAACTAAGACTTCATTCATTTTGTTCAATTGTTCTTTAAACCGGTATTAATTTGGTTACACCAACACTTAGTCCTCTCCGATAGTATTGTTCTTCAAATGTCATCAAACATTATAGAAATTCTAATCCCATTAGAACCCATATTTTCAAAACATCCCCTTTGAAGAGACAACTCCAATTGATATGATTTTGACACCTTCTAGATTTGATAGTCAAATAGTAATTAGTAAGAGGTAAGTCGACAGAAAAAAAAAGTACGAATAAAAGAATAAATATAAGGTGTGAGATCTCGAGTCTCATCCTACATGTTATCATCGTCCTATATGCAAAACTTTAAATTCAGCTCAATCGTAATTTGATATAGAAATATCATCTCTGATAGTAAGAAAAAAAATTAATCAAGCAAAATGTAAATTGAACACTCAGTCATTGAAACACGCATTCTCATGATTAAGAGATTAAATTAATACAAAACAAAGTTTAGGACTAGAGTACAAATTATAATAAATAAAAGGTTTCAACAAGTAATTTACTCATTATAATAGGTGGGTATCAAAACTTGTGTATAGAAGCATTTCCATCAAGCTTCGAAACTGGTTAGAGAAGTTTTCAAAATTTAAAATTAATTTTGAAATATCTAGATCAAAAATCGAAATTAATTTAAATAATTATTTAAATATAATTTAATGACCTTTATATATTTTTCTTAATTATTAAAACTCCTCAAAATATCGTTATTTTGCGTAATAATTTCAAGATAGAATAAACTCGTTATATCCTTATGAATAGGGCCTTCGATTTTCGCTAGAGCTGATTACGCTCTGTTCGGTTACATCTTGCCGTTTAGCGTAGTGTGTTCTAGGTCTAGGTCTCGTAGTGTGTAGTTTTAGTTCGGCAAAAGCCTTGTTCTAGGCGGTGACGAAGAAGTGAAAAGTTGTAGTGTAAAAGTTTTTGGTTAAAGTTTCAATATCGTTCGATTATATTTGTCTTCGTATAACGTTGGTACGGGTACTCTTTTTCTTTCATTTAAAGTTGGAGAAATTTTGGAACGAGACTCGATTATTGTCAATGAAATGGTATGTTTCACTTCTTTTAATAACATACAAGCTGCCTTTTCAAAAATATTTTTTTAATTTTTTAAAATCATGTAGCTGTATAATTAAAATAGTCCAAATATGACATAAAAAGTTCATATGTAATCAAATACTTAGAAATTAGAATATTTTACCATTAAATGGTGGTGTAATTACATAATACAAGATTAAAAGTAAATTTTGAAGGGAAGAAGTAGGGTAAACTATTCGTTTAGTACCTAAACTATTCGTTTTGGCTCGTTTTAGTACTTAATTTTTTTAATTTTGTTTAAAACCATATCTAACATTTAGTTTTTGTTATATTTTAGCACTCCGATGTTAAAAACTTAACGTGTTTAGTACCAAAACTATCAGTTTTGGTCTATTTTAGTACCTTAACTTCAAGTTTTTTTTCAAAACTTAACATTAAATTTTGAATGAGATAATAAAATGAAACAAAAATTAAATTATAGGTATGATTTTGAAAAAATTAAAAATTTAGGTGCCAAAATAGATCAAAACTGATATAATTTAAGCGCTAAATGTGTAATTTACCAAAAAAAATATTGTGTTTATTATTTTGTATGGATTTGGTTTTGTCTGATTTCCCAAAGGGTGAACACGTTTTACTTATTTGCGAGGTGAGGTGAGGGGAGGTGAAACTGTGAAAGTGGAATTGCTTTGTTTTTTGTTGTTTTCAAACTATAAAGCAAGCAATAAGTTCAAATCATGGATCGGACCCATTGGTAGTCCCCCTCAAAAGCTGGAGATGCATTATGGCCCAACTGTATCCAACTTCAAAGCTTTGAACTTGACAATAATAATTATATTTACAGGCCCCTTCCAGAGTGCTCGAGAATCACGTTGTTATTGTACATGCATGCGCTCTAATTTCTTTACCACTACTCTATATATATCTCTTTTGGGTTTAAAACTATAACTAAATACCAACAACTGGTTGATCTAGTAAGATGAAATATTAGGTTCATTAAGTAAAATAAGAGGTTCCAATCCTGGTATTTGTAAATAGAGCAAACTGATTTGGGATGTTCGCCCTCGTCTCTACAATACCCGACTTGAATTAGTCGGTCAATAGACCAAATATAATTAATTAATTAATTAAAAAAAATAAAAGTATCACTAAATGTGTTACTGTTTTGGCTCAAAAATATCAATTAAAATCTACAAGGTCAACAGCAATAATTTCAGTAACATGGGCAACAGTCGAGCCTCGTCTCTTCCAGAACAGCTCATCTTGGATGTGGGGCTAATTATTGCCAAATATTGACAATTTGCACCATTTTTATTATCACGTGTATGTTTTGAATGTACCATTTTTATGTTTCTCTAAAATGACAAATAAATGTGATGATATGTATGGCAATGAGAGCTTAGCGATAGAAAGTCAAGATGAACAAACCATTTATGGTGGAAAATGACACATGCATTCTTAACCACGCCCTTCAACTACATCTTCCCAACGGACTACTATTTTATCTATTTTCTTAAAAGATTGGTTAAAGAAATCCTAATTTGATTGTCCGTAAACTAATACATTTTGTTGAAGTTAGCCCTCGTGTCTTTTTATCAATTAAAATTTTATTAATAAAATATTCAATTATTAAAATTATAAAAATAAATCATTCATAATTTTAGGAAAATCATTTAAGTAAATTTAAAAAGGGTAATCTATGCAAATATCACTCATCTTTATGCTCGGGATCGAAAATGCCACTGGCATTTCAATTTTGCCAATTTTAGCACGGACATTTATGTTTCACTTCAATTTTTTCACTCTGCCGTTAATCCGTTAACGGCGCGATGATATGGCGTTCGAATGCCGTGACAGCGATGACATGAACGGTTTATTAAAGTTTTTTAGTCCATGTAGGATCATTGTTGGTATTTGATTGGTATTTTATGTTATATAAATACCTAATTTAACCCTATATTACCCCATTTGCTTCATTTCTCCTCTTATTTTCAGCAGCAGAAGAAACAGGAAGAAGGAAGAAGTTCGGCGGTGGAAGAAGCAGAATAATGGAGCAAGCCCTTGCATATCCAGTCTATGGGTGTGGATATCCGGCTCAACTGAGGACATCATGGTCCAATGATAATCCCAGGAGAAGATTTTTTAGCTGTAAAAACTATGAGAGTTTTATTGTACCCGGTTATCGATGTTTTTGCTGGTTTGACCCTCCTATGACTCCACGAGCACGTGTTGTTCTTGTGGGATTGTTGAAGAAAATCAAAGCAACTGAAATTAGGATGAGGAATGAGAGAATTGTTTGGGGTGTTATTTTTATTTTAGGGTTTATATTGGGTTGGTACGTAAAACAAATGGTGATGGTGAAAAAAATTTAGGGTGGAATTTGTGATGATAGTACTTATTGGTTTGTAATGGGACGAAAAATTGAGGGTGAAAATTTTAGGATTAACGGGTTCTTGCTTGTTAAATATGATGGTGCTTGTTAGATGGTTTTGTAAAATTAGCTACTAAGCTTTGCTTGTTAAAAAACTTGGTGTTTTGGTGCTTTGATGCTTATAGTTTTTTTATCTTTAAAATGTCAAACATGAATGATAAACAAAATAAATTTCATTCAATAAGAGTTGTGGTTGATAATCAACACATGTGTACAACAACATAAAGTCCACATAAGCACTTAAGTATCAACTTATAAAACCCAGTAAAATATGACACAAAATATCAATGTGAATAAACACATGAGTTCAAAAGACATAGTTCATAAACTTATGTATTCAATCCAAAATATCAACCCAAGTATCTAAGTTCTGAAATCATCCAAATAAAATTGGAGAATATCAACCTATAACATCCTTGGTCGTTTTGCAAAAATATTTCGACATTCTTCTTGGGAAGTCTGCGTTATAGTGCTTAACTTGCTTAATTGTTGGATGGCAGTTACATCTTCTTGTGAGGGTGGCATCCATCTAACTGACATTACATTTTCTGCTTGCTGGTTGGTTGGATAAAATGTGTGGCCTGGAGTAGGAATAAAGACAAATGGAGGCTGAGCTTATGATGATGATGGTGGTTGTGATGTTGCAGCTTGTGATGATGTTGCAACCTTTGATGATGGTGTAATCCTTGTTGTAGTTCTTCTCCTAACCTGTAGTCATAAGTGTACCAAAATCTCAAAACATAATTGTAATTGTGATATAAGGTTAAAAAAGAATAAGAAATATATACATGTAGTTTTCTCCGGATGTGCCTTGATTCAACCCTTATTTCATTAGTTTCTCTTGTTGAGTTGAAATTAGGTCTCCTAGGTGGCATGTTGCCTCCAACTATCCCTTTGCAAGTCCTTTGGTTATGTCCTGGTTGGCCACACTTGGAGCAATACATCATCAGACCTTTCTTGCTCATTATAGCATGAGAATTTGTAGGCTCATTCACTTCATTTCTCATCTTTTTTTTAGGTCTTCCTGGTGGTCTTCTAATTGTTGGTGGTATAACTGGTTCACAAGTGGTGTCAGTTAGCCACTGATTGGGGCCTCTCATGGGTTGAATGAAGTGACTATAAATTTCTCGTTGAGTGGTTACAAAATAAGAGTTGTGAACATAAGCTTT